TCTGTCTGTCTGTGTGTTGTTTGTTTCTCTTTCATTCCATCGAAGCTCCACATAGTTCAATGGCTTGACGACCAAAGGCATGCCTAACTTTGGTTCAGAGATAAGAAGCTGCACGTGCCACTGCATCGCAAGCAAGTAGTCAAATTTTTAACTGTCTGCTTGCATTTGCATTTCGAAATCGTGGTGAGAGCACATGAAGACTTGAAGTTGCGACCCCTCTGCGACTATCTTACCTGTATATGTGTATGGATATCACAAAAGTACATGTGTAGGAAATGTTTGCACGTAGACCTATACATCTTATCGATCTATGAATTTCGTGCAGCCTCTCGGTGGAGATAGTCATCAATTGATGAGGAAGCAACCAGTGGATCCAGCTCTCCAGAGCCCGTGTTCCTGCGAGGCGACTGCTTGCGCGACTAAGATAGGAGAGCTTCAGAGATCAGATTCAACATGATTCAACAACAACCTATTAGATATATATATTATATATAACACATATTATATATATATATTGTACATATATATATATTATATTATATATATATATATACAGCAGAGAATCCAGATTGTAATGTGGAGATAATGGGAAGATGTTCCAAGACATGACCAGCGCATCCATCTTCGCACTTCTCCAAGCACCAGGCCAAATCTGCAGTTCGCCGTTGTAGGTGCCCCCCGCCAAAATGCTTGGCTTGGTCGGATGGAAGGCAATACCTCCAGTGGCAAGAAATCCTGCCATGGCTCTCATCGGCTTCAGTAACGATCACCAGTCGGATTCATTGGGAATGATAGGCATTAAATGAGGTATATAGCGTATACCACGTATACCTGTATACCTGTTTAGCCCCAAAATGACAATTTCAAGTAGTGGTTATGAACCAGTGGATGGAATGGAGCACCAAACACAAATATGTGTCTGAAAGCGGAGTCATCCCCAACTGATAGGTGAAACTTGATGAAACAGTCTCCGCTTCAAAGTGGAGTTTGGAAACGCCACTGAGTGTCCAGCACATCACAAAACCTTGAACTTGGAGCACGGTGTCAGGCTCGCCAGCTACGAGCTGCGGCCTACCCAGGTGCCAAAGCCACATGCTGAACGATGTCAATGTCTCAATCAACATGTCCAAACGGTGGAAACTACTGCAGTCTTCATAAATTTAGGCGAAAACCGTGATTTCTTCCTATATTTTTTTCTATAAAGTGGATCTGCAAGTGGTTGAGAAAGCTCCATGACTGTGCAGCATTTGGCAGAGGTAGTTAGTCGCCTAAAGATGTTCCACACGCACACCGGCGCAGTCACTTCACACCAGCCAAGCCTTGGCATTCCATGATCTACATGGCATCATGGCATGGCATGCCTATGCCCATAACTCAACGTCTTCTAGAGCCACTCTACCCATGTGGTCTAATCCTCCTGGAAAACACAGTGCTTCCATCTGCAACCACGGACCGCGGAGACTTTGCAGTGGGCAGTTTCAGGTTTAGATCTCAAATCCCAAAAAAAGAACTCTTGGCTGAATGTGTCAAATTGTGTGAAGACTGTCTTTGTAAACAGCTAAGCTTTTGGCGTGTCCAGCTTTCCAAAAGCACATGCCAAAGATGCGCCCGTGGAATTCCAAGCTACACTTGTGACCTGCCCAAGGAGCGAACCCAGATGAACCCAGGAGTCCTGGTGCAATTTAGAAGTGCACGCAAGCAAAATCAATGGCATGCAGAACACGTAAGACTCAAACAGGTTAAACAGGAGATGAAATGGGAGTAATCAGCTTTTCATGAACCCTTTCAAACCCTTCTTGGCGGGAGCGAGGCGCGCGAGCGCCGTCGCACCGTCGCCGCCCTTTCCCTTATCTGATCAGAAATGCTGCCCTTCGCACAAGTACAATAAAAGTACAATAAATTCACCTACAGCATCAGCAACACGCAAAAGCATCTGAGATATTGGGGAGTGTAGATCAGATAAGGCAGACAAAATTTCACACCCCGCCTGAAGATCAACCAGCCCTTCCTTCCACACCTGCCGTTTCACCCGGGCACCAAATCATCCGAGCTGAGCAAACAGTCCACGGCAGTCCACGGGCCTGATGAGTCATCTCACAGGTCTCAGCCACATCGTCCCACAATGGCCTCTGGCAGCGTGAAGCGCGCCCAATACACCGAGCAAAGCCCAAGGTAGCCAATGCTAAGCCGCTAAGCCAAAGACACGTAGGCATCAAACACAGGCCTTATGCAGCATGTTGCATGTTACCAGAAAACAACCAAACGACAGATCAACCAAAGGTATCGGTAGCATGTGATATATATATATACATATATATATGTACGTATATACATATATAGAGAGAGAGTGATCGCTTTACATTTGACATACAGTATGTAAGGTGAACGAACCATCACCATGGCCCTATTGCAGAAATGCACTTCCCTGATTTGCCGACTGATGCCATGCGCAGCACATGTTTCTCAAACACTATCAAACATGTTCCATCATCTCTTTTAGGGACACACTTTATCAAATGTCGCACAAGGTACAGATCATTACACATTGTCAACCTCATCGTCTCTTTGTGATGACTTCTCTGCATCTCTCCGCTCTCTCTGTCTCTATCTCTGGTCTCTGGCCTTGTTTTTTTTTTTGCTTTTCTCTCCCACTCCCTCTCTCTCTCTCCCCGATCTCTCTCTCTCTCTCCCCCTCTCTCTCCCTCTCTCCCCCCTATCTCTCTCTCCCTCTCTTTCCCTTTCTTTTCCATTGTTTTCGTCTCTTCTCAGCTTCTCTTGCTTCCTGCTTAAAGCCCAAATTCGATCATACTGGCGAACTTTTGTGGAGATTCTGTGTGTCGCATGCGCACGGTTGCAAACTGCATATTTCACTTGTTTGTAGGCAAACCCCACATTTCAGATGCCCGGGTGTCTGCACAGCGATGTGATGTGCTACCAGCCTCTTATTGGTTTCCTCGCATTTAATTCAAGAAATCAAGGAAGTTAAAGGGTGCCTCCAACCCCGGTAACAATAGGAGTTTAATGAACTCCGGACTCGGTTAATATCCCCTTAAGACGTCAATTGTTGCGGGGTGAGCTTGGGGGGGGTACCCACGGGATCTCCAAATGGGTAAGGAAAGCAACGATGTCACAGTCTGATCAATCTCTGAACATGTCAAACCAAGTCACAAAGAGCGCCATGCCAACTGCAACTCCTTTACTGTGTCTCACAGCATGTCATGAACTGACCTGTTCCAAATCTATATTGCTGGCAGCTGGTCGAATTTGAAGTCCTGCTCCATGACTGGCACCACTTCCCGCAGAAACGTGGCCAGTTGTTGCTCATCTACAGCCACCTGGGCAGTCAATTGTAACATGCTACGGTGTTTTTCCCTGCAGGGCCTTCTCTCAAACATCTGTAAGAAAACAATCATTACAACATGTGAAACCATCCATGCAAGAAAACCCATCGAATCATCAAATATTGTAGAGGCCAAGGAGTGTCCCATGGATTTTCCTTGTTAAAACAGGGATACCCTCTCCAGCCTCTTCGCTCAAGCCTTCTCCGGCCCCTTCTGTTTGGATTTCTATCTCTTTGACCTTTGCAACGGCCCGATGGTCAAAAATTTTGGACCATCCAATGAGATCAGTCATAACAAGATTTTACCGCCTCAAAAGCCTGCAATTTTCGGCTTGCACGCTCAACCTTGGGTAAGATGGAAAACAAGAGAACTGTCAAAGGATGCATCCAAAATGCAGACCAATTCCACACAATAAAAACTGCTGTTGAGTCACCTTTTCAGTTTGAAGACGAACACCCTGCGCATAGGTTTGGCCATCTTTGTCCTGAACAACCTGCAGATCATTCTGTCTTTGAATTTTTGCAACTGCTGCACGGTTGATAGTCAGACCTTGTAGCGGGGTCTGTCCGGCACGGTTGAACCTACAGTTTTCGCGCGAATTGTCAACACAGAGCAAATGACCATGACACAGTTCATTCAGAAATTCTGTTGTTTCACTTGGGTGCACACGAACTGTAACTCCATCAAGCGATTCGGACACAAATTTGGAACTTGGATCGTCCTGGCAGCAAATTTCCAGTACGGCAGTCCGGTGCACATTTGTCAACGCGCCTGTCTGCCACCATCCATTGCATCCAAACAAAATGCATCCAAACAAAATGGACAGCAAAACAAACGATCCTACCATGCACATATTTGGTGATTGGAAACAAGAACACAGCTGGACCCGGACACAAAACAATGGCGGGTTTTTCAATTTGGAAACAATTGCACTGTTGTTTACTGGGTCAAAACACACCAAAACCATGAATTAAAAATGCCGCACGTATATTGCACGCTAGTGATGTCATTGATCTTGAGTTTCAAACGCCAAACTGGCAAATGAAACGGCAAATCAAATCATAACGAACAACACGCATCGAATCTCAAACACAAAGTGCACCTCTGAGAAACACAATGACACGTGTATTAAAATTGTTTTTGGGGCCCACGGTCACGTAGCCTGACACAAAAAAAAAATGACGTACGCACGTTTTTTAATTCCTTTTGGGTTATACGGGCCGGGACATGAAATGAGGATTTTTTGGATCAGCTGACGCCTGTAGTGTGGGACATGAGAAATATTATCAAGATTGTGCGCATTATTGCGTTGTCTTGGTGCTGCTGTGCACTTGCTTCTTGTATCTACTCAATGATGGTTTCGGCACCTCCACCCAAGTTTTGTTTTTGTAATACCTCAATTTGTCGCCAATTATTCCCGAATGCGTAGCAAGGGTTCCCGTTTCACTCTGGGGGTCTGGGGGTTGAGGGTGTGTTCGCTCGACGTTGCGTTTGTGGCCGCAACCGTCCGCAACCGTCCGCAACCGTTCGCGTGAGGGCCGTATGGCCGTGCCTATGGTAAGTTCTGCAAAGGTGGTCATTTTTGGAGGTTTCAAATTTTTCGTTGTTTCGTTTCGCGTGGCAGGCGTGGCACCTCGTGACATTCAGACGTGTTTTGTAACGTGTCGAAAGTCGTTTTGTGTGGCAAGCGCAATACTTTTGCAACGTTTTCAGAAGGTGCGTTGTAGTTTTCGTGGCAGCGGCACTTTGGACGTGTCCAGCATCATTTTGTGTGGCAAACGCAGCACTGTAGACGTGTGGTGTTTCGTGTTTTTTGCGAACCGCATTGGCAGGACTGCGTCAAGTGGCGACAACCCAGAGTACGCCTTATTGAAAAGATTCAATATAGTTATTGAAATTTGATCCATATATTGAAATGAAGGGTTTATTGAAAATTACAATATAGATATTGAAATTTATTTCAACAGGTAACATCAAAATTTCAACATACCATATTGAAAAAAACAACAATATCATGTTGAAATTGATGTTGAAACATGTTTCAACATATGTGGAAAATGCTGTTTCAATAAGGTGAAATGGCTGTTCTCAATCTGTTGCAAATTGGCTGAGTTTCAAACTGCTTTCTTTTCAAATGGCCATGCAACAAACAGTGGCAGCAGAAGTTGGTCTCCCTGGAACCTAGCTTTTTGGCCCAAGCTCCTGAGTCGCCTTTTTTTAAGCCTTGAAAAAGGGCAGTGCCTTGAAAAGGGCATTGCCTTGAAGAAGGGCCATGGAGGAAGAGCAAAACATTGATGAAGCACAGCTGGATGTTTTAGACATGCTGATGAGACCCCCTCTTCCTGGGACCATGCAAGAGGCCATGGCCTACTGGGAGTACTTGGACTGCCAGACTGTGTCCTGTGATGCCTGGCTGTGGAGGAGGAACCTGGGCAAACCAGACTGGGGGATTAGGTGCTGGAAATGTGGAAGGGAATGGAGAAACACCTTCCAAAGAAGTGGGTCCTATTTTAAATATTGGAACCCAATAGACAAATGTCCAGCTAGGTGAAATTGCCTTGAAAAAGGGCATTGAAATTGCTTTGAAAAAAGGCATTGAAATTGCCTTGAAAAAGGGCTGTAAAATTGCCTTGAAAAAGGGCTGTAAAATTGCCTTGACAAAGGGCTGTAAAATTGCCTTGAAAAGGGCATAGATTGGAGACAGCTGCTGAAAAAGGGGAGAAAAGCTAGCAAGCTGACATGTAAGAACAGTGTGGCATTGAAACACAGCACTGGGCAGGGCAATTGGTGTGCAGTGTCAGGCTGTTTCCCTTGCATTTCCCTTGCAGTACAGGCTCAAGCTGAAACTTTGCTTCATTGTTTGATTTGCTGCAAAGGGCCAAACCTTGAAGAAAGGCAAAGCTCTGAAAAAGGGCATGGTCCTGATGAAACCAGTCAAGAAAAAAGGTGCAGGAAACCCACAGCCCAAGCTGAGAAAAAGTTTCCCTGAAGTTGACCAGGATGCTTTAGATGATGCCCTTGACAGCCACATCAGGCAGATTGGTGTGCAAGAAGCATTGAACCTGCTGGACTACAGGCATCTCCAGCCACAGCAGGCTGAGATCCCCAGAGCCATGTTCAAATTGCACCCTCTCCTCAAAGCATTGGTGCAAGTCAGCCCCAGTGCAGAAATCAGGTACAGGAATCTGAAACACAGTCTGACTGTGGCTGTCCACAAGTTTGGGGCTGAACTCTTGAACAAGTACTGGGAGGTGGAAGCAGCTTTGCTACCTGGGAGGGCTGCTGACAGCATACTTGTCCTCCTTAAACACTGGAGGAGGGTGACAGCCAGTCCAGCAGGTTGGGAAAGGTTTGGCACCAAACTTGACACAGCACAGTTCCAAGTGCTCACTGGTCTATACAAAAAAACTGGTAAAAAGGTTGGTGGGTCACCAGGCAAGAGGAAGCTGAAGAAAGAGGTGTCAGATGTTACAATGGCATCTGATGGCTTCCCTGCAATGTTGGCCACTTCTTCTGCATCAGAGGCAGAGGATGGTTCTGATGGTGAAGCTTCTGAAGCTTCTGAAGCTTCTGAAGCTTCTGCTGCACCCAGCAACTCTTTGCTTGGGTCTCCACCTCCTGTGACCAAAGCTATGTGGAGGGAAAAGGCTGGCAAGCCTGTGAAGAAAAGGCCTGCTGGGAAAGGAAGTAAAGAGAAGGACGGTGCCAAGAAAAAACCAGCAGTAGGAAAAAAACCAGCAGCAGAAGTGAAAAAGAAGCCAGGTGACACAGGCTTGGGGCCAGATACCCCAATTGCCCAGGAGACCCTGAGCATAGGTGGTGGCAAGAACCAGTCCTACATACAACACATGCCTTTTGGCCCAAACACTGTCAAGAAGCTTGTGGTCAGTGTGTCTTTGGCCCAAGCTGCCAAGCTCAAGGTTTCCCATAAGCAGCTGGTGGAGGAGCTCTTGCCTGCTTGCAAGCAGGCTGGTGCCACCAAGGCCTCAGTATTAGCTGCCAGGTTGAAACTGTTTCAAAAATATGAAAAGGCATGATGTGGATTGCCTTGCAAAGGGCTGTAGCCTTGAATAAAGGCAGTAGCCTTGCAAAAGGGCTGTGCAAGCACACACCAAAGCCTTGCACAAGGCAGTAGCCTTGTATAAGGGCTGTGCAAGCTGTAAATATTGTACATACAGCAGCACCACTCTTCTGCATACATGAGTGAAAAAAAGGTGCTGCAATACATGGCCAGGTGCTGCCAAGCCAAAAGCAACATGTTGTGTAAGCAAAACCAAGTACAACCTGAACAATGTTGCATATTCTGTTTCAATTTTGGGCTCAAGCTGCTAAAGCTGTAAGGCTTCCTTGGTTTGCAACAAGACCAAGGGCCAAACCTCGCGAAAGGGCACTTCAATTTGACTTGCCTTGAAAAGGGCATTCTGTCCTGCAGAAGGGCCAAGCCTTGTGTAAGGGCAGTGTATGGTATCATCCCCTTCCAGCCCTGACTACTCCAGGCCTTCACCACCTAAGTCACCCAGCAGAAGCAGGAGCAAAAGCAAGGCCCCAATGGCCAGAAACAGCTGGAGTGATGATGGGTGGGAAAAAGGGTGGCAAGATGGGTGGGAAGAGTGGGAGGGCTGGGGGGATGACAAGGAAGAAAAAGAATGGGCTTCCACATGGAAGACCAGAGGGAGGTGGGAAGAAGAAAAATGGGAAGATGAAGGGGAAAGGAGGTGGAGGAGGGATGAACATGGCAAAAGCCTGACTTCAGGCAGTGCCCATATGAGGCAAAGGCTGCAACTCCTGCAGGAGAAACAAGGGCTGCCAAAAAACAAGGATGAGGAGTATGTCCAAAGACTGGCTGCTATGGGCCAAAGCAGGTTCAAAAGGATGATGGGGAGGAAGGAGAAACAAGAGAAAGCTGAGAGGGAGAAGCAAGAAGCTTTCCAACAAGGGGCAGCATACCAGCAGCAGCTGGTATGGCAACAGCAGCAGCAGTGGCAGCAACACCAATGGCCACAAGGGTGGTCACAGCAGTGGCCACAACAGTGGCCACAACAGTGGCCAGCACAAGGTGGCATTACACTCATGCTGTTTTTTGTTTTCAAATTTGCATGTGCACTTTTTTTTGTGGCAGGTGGCTATGGGTATGGTACCAGCCAAGCAGCTGCATCCCAGCCTCCAAGCCCCAAAGGCCTGGCCATGAGAGTGTGCACAGTTCAGTTCATACTTCATACCTTTTTTTGTGCAATGCCCATTCAGTTCATACTTTTTTGGGCAGGTGCAGCACAGGCAAGTGAACCAAATGCTGCAGGACTGTCTGGTTTTCTCATTGCACCTTTTTTCAAATCCATGCTGTCCAATTTTCAGGTATACTTCCCATATTTCTCTGCCAGGACCACCCAGGGATCAGAGGAGTGGCCTTGGGAAAGGGCAAGCAAAAGGCCTTGGGAAAGGGCATGCAAAAGGCCTTGAAAAAGGGCAAACAAAAGGCCTTGAGAAAGGGCAGAACCAGCAAAGCAGCAGCACCAGCAGCTCCAACAGTGGGCAGTCCAGCCCTTCCCCACCACCAGGCAAAGGCAGGGGGGGTCCAAAAGGTGCCAAGCCTAAGAATAAAGGAAGGCCTGGGCCAAAGGCTGCACCTGAGGTGAAAGAGGAAGAGGGTAGCTGGGTTGAAGTAGCCAGAAAAGGCAATAGAAGAAAAAATTGAAAGCCTTGAAGAAGGGCTAAAGCCTTGAAGAAGGGCCAAAGCCTTGAGGAAGGGCCAGCCTTGGGTAAGGGCTTCTATTTTTTGAAAAAGTTCCAAAGGGACTTTGGGCCACCTCCTGCACTGTGAGCAGTTGAGAAAAAAGAGGTTGCTGGGGAGCTTGGGCATGAATAGCCCACTGATTGCTGAATGAAACATATATTGAAAAAATGAGCAGTCCAGTCATTACCCAAAAAAAACAGTTCAAAGTGGAATCCAAAATTTTGAAAAGGTCTGCATTGTTTTTTTCAAATCAAATCAGTTTGGCACAGGTTCCAAAATGACCACAAAAAGTGGATCCATCATATTGCATCATATGATGTCATTTGATGGGTGGGGCCATCATATGATGGGCTTGGGCCATCATATGATGGGTTTGGGCCATCATATGATGGGTTGTGGCCATCATATGATGGGTGGTGCCATCATATTGCATCATATGATGTCATATGATGGGTGGCAGTTTTCTGGGTAGAAATGATTGGTGTCATTTTTTTTTGAAATCTGTAGCTTTCAAAAGCTCAAGGTTGAAACCTGCAATTTTCTTTGGCCTTGCCAAGGGCAACCTCTCAACCCAAAGCCTTGCAGAAGGGCAAAGGCAATGGGAAAGACAATGAAGGCCATGAAAGCTACCCCAAAAAAAACAAAGCAAACAGAGACCAGCCCTGCAAAAGGGCAAAGCCTTGCAAAAGGGCCAGGCATTTTGAAAAGGCCCAGTTCCATTTTGAAATTACCAAAAAATGAGGCAGACCTGAGCCTGGAAGAAAAGATGGAAACCTTCCAAAAAAAAACCAATGGAAATGTTCAGACTTTCCTTGACAGCCTCACCCCTGGCCAGAGAGAAGCCCTTTGGGGTCGCTTTAGCAGGGCAAGGGATGCCTTGAAGGATCCCAAAGCCACAGAGCTGTGGAACACCCACTGTAAGGGGAAGGGAAGTGAAGAGAAAAAAAAACAGTTGCTGGCTGTGTTTTTGAAGAACAGGGGTGATCTGAAGAAGGCTGGCATCTACCACAAAGAGTTGGTTGCCTTGACCGAAGTTTCAGGCAGCTTGGCTGGCAGAACCCAAATTTCAATGGGTGTTCTGAGTGCCATCACTCCTGCTGCTTGCTTGTGACTTGTGAGTGTGTTTCTCTGAGGCAGCAGGGAAACAGAGGAATGGGTGCCATTCCAAGCCATACTGACAAGGTTTGGATTACAGGAAGCCATGAGGAGAGCACCCTGGCAGCAATATGCATTGCACATCTTGCACTCAACCCCCTGACTTGGAATGCCAACCTTTGCTGGCATATGGTGAGGTGAACAGGGGGTCCATCAGGGTCAGAAAAGACCCAAAGGACCAACAAGAGTGGCAGTTCTGCCTGGAGACAGCAATTGTCTACAGTGACAAGCAGTCCAAGCATGAGATGAACTTGGAGGCTGCCACCAAACTGGAAGCCATCCAATGGATGGAAGCCAGAAAGGCTGGCACCATGTTGAGCCCTGAGGAAGGGCTGGCAGCAAATGCCTTGAATGATGTCCTCCCCACCAGTGCCAAAAAAAAGGCTAAAGAGCTTGCAGCTATCAAAGACAAAGAGTCAGATGAAGAAGGTGATGCAGAAGATGAGGAAGAAGATAGCAAACAAAAGCTCAATGCAGCTGCAAAGGAAGCTGACCTCCTGTCAGACATGGGGGGGAGCAAAAGCAAAGAGCTCACAGCCAAGAGAATCTTGAAGATGCTCAAGCTGGTCAAGCAAATCAATGCTGGCCTTGCAAAGGGCAGCTCAGGGAGCAAGGCAGCAAAGCACCAGAAGGAACTGCAGAGTTGCCAAGTTGAGTTGCAAAAACTTAGCAAGCAGGGGCAGAAGGTCAAGCTGGAAGTTGCCAAGGACACTCTCTGTGAAGCAGCACTGGCTGTAAAGAGAGCAGAAAAGGCTGTGGAAAAGAAATGAATCCTGAAAGAATGCAAAGGCCTTGAAGAAGGGCAAAAGCCTTGCAAAAGTGCAAAAGCAAAGCTGGTAGTGGTCAGCGTATTGGGCTCTCACAAGTTACCTACCCCGCTAGTTGGACAAGCTGCCACACAGTGGCACCTTTTTCCTTCCTTGAATGCACGGTTGTGCAAAAGGGGCTGCGGTCATGAGCTGTTGTCATGCCATGCCGTCTCTACCTAGTGAACTGCCTAGCTAACTACAGTAGCTACCTAATTCCTAGGTTTTACCCTTTGCAGTTTGCCACCCTCCTTAGAGTGGCATGGCTCACTGCCGGGTTCTTGGTGAGACGTATAGCTACGTACCTCTCCTGGCTAGCTGTGGCCAGAGAAAGGGCTGCCGCCACTGGAGCTGCCGCCTTCGATCCCCAGAACTCTGTTCTCGGCCTCGCGCCACTGCTGGAGCTCATTTGGACTCATCCCATCAAAGGGATCTAGCGGAGCTTCCCGCTCAATGGCGGGGTCTCCCGTCAAAAGCTCCGGGCCGGAACTGGAGATCGGCGGCTCCGCCCGCTCGGGCGGTGCTACCCGCTCAGGCGGTTCCTCCCGCTCAGAGGCGGGGCGGTCCGCACTGTGCGAAGTTGACTCACCTGGTTCATCTTGGCTGGAGTCTGGGTCTTGCCCATGAATCAGCCTTTCTTCGCGCCTGCGCCATTCGATCAGCTCCTGGAGGGTCATGTTGCTTTCTGCCCCTCTCTGCGCCCACTGTTCCTCTGACCAGCGCTCGATGCGACTAGGAGTTAGTTCTTCCTGCCGCGGGGTTTCCGCCGGTTGAGGCTGCGGGGCTTCCGCGGAACCTTGCCGCGGGGCTGCCGCTGGCGCATTCACCGTCTGGCTGATATTCAGCTGTCTACCGTCTCGGTAGGCGGTGATGTTGAGGCGCACCGTAGCACTATCCAGCTGAAGTTGCACCTCGGCTCCTTCAACTTGAACCGGTTGTTCGGGAAGTTGATTTTCGCCTTCAGGCGGGAATAGCCAGTCTGTGATCAGCACTCCTAGCTGATACAGCTTCACATAGATGGCTAACAAGCCTATGAGCGCGAGGATGTACAGGACAATTGGATTGATCCACTGATTTCCTTGTCCCTGCGCTCGCACTGCGGTGATCTGGCTGAGAATCACCAATGACTTGATGTAGTTCACACTGCCCTTTGTTTTCGGGGCGGTGCTGCCCGCTCGGTCCTTTCTGTTGTCAATCCAAGCAACGCTTGCTGGGACCGGAGTCTTCCAAGCATGCTGCTTGGTCACAGTCGAGACCTTGACGGAGATACGCTTTGTGGATGATAGCACATCCTCTCCGTCGTGAGCTTCGCACATACCCAGTCCAGGTAGGGCTTGCTTTACCTCTGTCCCTGACTTGGGATGTTTCGTCAGAAAGTTTGCACAGTTGAGCGTCCCTTTGACCTTTCCCAAAGCGAGCTGCTTTGACTGGATCGCTCCCTGCGCGTAGAACTCACAGACTTCCAGGTGCCTCAACTTGGCTCCTGGTCCTATGCGTTTCGCTGCCTGCATGGCCGACGAGCTGTCGGTCCATAGGCGGGGCTTCCCGCACAGTTGGCCAAAGTCCAAGGTAATGAGATCGCGCAAGTAGATTGCTTCTCTGGCTGCTCTGGATACACCTCTCAGTTCCGCATCTGGGCTGCTAGTAGCTGGCAGTCCGGGTTGCGTCTGGGTTGTGCAAGCAACCACAGCTCCACAGACTACTGCCACATGACAGTCGGTGCTCCTCCGGCTCTCGAGGCACCCTGCCCAGTCTGAGTCGGAATACAACTCTATGCTCCATTCGCCAGTCGCACTTGGCGGATCACATGTTACCACCCTGCCAACCGTGGGGTGAGTTTGCAGGTATGCTGCAAGTGTCTTCACAGCTTTCATGTCACACTGCCTTGGCTGCGACATGTGTCTCGCTGCTTCCTTCACAGCATATTGTATATCTCTGCGATCCAAACTCAGGTAGATCGCGGATCCTACTGCGCTGCGATAGCGTTTTGCTTCTTCTTCGGACAGGGGAGTGGTTTCCAGAAGATTCAATTGTTTGGAAGGAACCTCACTCCTGTCACGCGCGGAGATACCCGCTGCGGAGATCACGGCTTGCCTGTGCTTTTCGTCTGGGATGGTGAGGATTGCATCTTCACTGCGCACTTTGGTGCGTCCCAGGTATTCCACTGCCGTTCCCTCCTTTTCGAGTTCTCCCGCTTGCACTTCGCAGTGTCGCGGTAGTTCTTGTTCGAAGAGATGCGCTAGGGCCTCTGAAGGTCCTGCTGCGCGGATGTCGTCCACATGGTGCAGCAGTACAATGCCAGTCTTGGTGCACCGGAAAATGCACGGATCTTTCTGACCCCTGACAAAAGCATACCGCTGCGGGTCTACCCGCGAGCACACTATCTCTTCTAGCTCGTTTCTATACACAGATCCGGCCGTTCTTCGACCGTAGAGATTTCCATCCAGCCGGAAACACATTTCTTTGAACCGATCCTTGTACCACTGCCGATCCGCTGGGTTGACTTCCTTGAGCCATTCGAGGAAGAGATCCCACCATTCGATGGGTGCTCGGACATAGACCGGTTTACCTTGTGCTGCGCCCCGGTCCCTTCCTATGAGGAAGGCTGCAACTATGTCTAAGCTCCTCGTGTAGAACTTGTTCATGAGGGCGTATACTTCTAAGACATTGTGAGACTCAGGAGTTGGAGTTGGCACGAAAACATCCAGCTCAGCCTCTTGCTCTTGGGTGTATCGCGCCTTGACGTCTGCGCATGTGAAGCGCGACTTGTAAGTCCCTCGTGAACACTTGTCTACCCATTTGTGACCAAAAAGCTGCGATCCCTGGGGTATGTCTTTTCTGTGGATGGGAGTGAACGCTCCTCGCTCCCACAGCTTTCGCAGTTGTGCCTTTCGGGCTTTGGATACCTCCTCAGGGTCGAGCATCTGATCGACGAATTCGGTCACATTGGAGATTCGCTGGATCGCTGTTGGGTTGTTCGGTTCTTCTGAGTTTCCCCATTGCTGGATTTTGTCCCAGATCTCTTTGGTTGTCAAGTGCTGCAAGATCCCTGCTTGCCGGGGCTGCTTTGCATCAGCTTCGCCGGTCTTCAGTTCTCCCGGATTAGCCCTCTCTCGTTTCCCTCCTGCCCCCAATCCAGATGGACTCATGGGTTCATTGGGAAGACTTTGCACCCGAAAGGGCGGTGGAGACCCGCTCGGCCCGTGCTCGGGCGGCGGAGGATCTGCAATCTCGGATTCCGCTGGCGTTGTTGGAACGGGACTGACGTCTGCGGGGCCACCCGCTAGATCTGGAAATTCCTCCGCATCCTGCATCGGTTCCAGCTCTTCCTCTAGCTGTGCCGCGGCTTGTACCACGAGGGCGTCGTGGTCGACGTTGTGTCCGTCCACTGCCAGCGTCGGATGCTCCCGATCTGCTGCTTCTTCTCGCTCGGGGCTACCCGATGCGGCTGGTGCTGGAAAAGCGATTGGCTGAGACAACTCACGAGTGATCTTATGCCTCACACCATCTCTCGGCTGCCAAGGGGTTCCTTTCATGGCTGCCATCAGCTCTGAGCTGATCTGTCCCTCCTTGGGCAGTCGCCTTATGGACCGCACAGCGATTGCACCTGACGCTGTGCCGAGCACATTGCTGTCGTCCCTGTCCAGCTTTCCAAGCCACACTCCTTTGATCCATCGGCGTTGGATCTTGCCTTTGGGGCTCGGCACCTTGCCAAGCACTATTTCTCCCAATGTGGCTACAGGATGGTTGTAGTCACCTCCTGTGACCAGCTTGTATGGCGTCATGCCATCTCTGCTGCGTGTGTGGTATCTGGCTATGAGCCACGCCGCGTGGCGCACAAGCCATGGCGTGAGGTTGCTGCTCACGTCCAGCTCAGGATACCTCTGCCTGACATCTAACCACAGAGTCCGGATTTGCGAAGCTGCGAATCCGTTCATCGACTCCACAGTTCCTTGGCTCTGGTGTTGCTTCGGCGGAGCTTCCCGCACAGAGACCTTGGATGCACCCACATGGCGTTGGATGCTGTTTGCAAGGGCTCTTATGGCGGGCTCGCCATCGTGCTGGAGGATGATCTTGTCATACCTCAAGTTCTTGAAGTAGAGGTCGATGTTCTGCAGGCAGTATTTTGACTGAGCCACCTCCACAGACTTGTTGGGGAGTTGAAGTGTCAATGGCCATCCGGTGCCGGTATCGGTTAAACACAAGATGGTCACAAGACGAGATTCGTCTTCTACCTCTTCTTCCCGTTCTGGAGACAGAAAGAAGTAGTCCATTTGGACAACCGAGACACCGTGATCTCGTTCTGTCGACTGGTCTCGCTTGTGTTGGTCTTGGCGGGATTTCCCGCTCACACACTCCTCGCACCAGGGCGCGAATGGCAGGTGAGTTAACCGATGCTGCTGTCGCTGTTCTTCTGTGGGGCTTTCCGGCTGAGGTAGCCCTCTTGGTTCAGGCGGCTCCGGCTCGTCTGCCGCTTCTTCCAAGTCGGCCAGCAGGCCGGGATCTTCCGCCTGCATGGCGGCGTCCGCTTCTTGCTGGGCGAACTCTCGCACAGCGTCGGCTTCCTCATCTTCCTGGAGTGCATGGCGGTGAACTGCCATTGCTTCTTCATCCTCGGGGTTGATGGCTGCGACCTTCACCTGGCCCTTTCCGCCATCCAGCTCTTCGTAGGGCAACAGGAACTGTCTCCCTTCTCGCCGGAACGTGGCGATGCTGCCATCTGCCCATTGGATGTAGCAGTTGTCAGTTTCGAAGTGGACGCTGGCTCCAACGTCCAGGGCTCGATTGACTGACAGGATGTTCTCATTCACACCTTCGACCACCTGAAAAGTGACCTGTGCCTCTTCCTGAAGCTGCTCTCCGAGTCGCAACTTGGGGCGGATCTCCCCGCACGCCTTCAGCGGTGTGTCATCTACTGTGTAGAGCTCCTCTGTGGCGCTTGGGTCGAGGTCGGCTGTCTGAAAGGCCTCAGGGGTGCAGACCGAACAGCATGCTCCAGTGTCCACCAATAGCGTGCCTCTGCTCGCTACTCTGGCTATCTTGGGCGTGCTTCTCTGGAAAGCATGCAATGCCCATACTTTGCTTCCCGCAAATGCCTTATGTGGGTTTTGAAGAAGCTTCCATTTCCTTCCAAGCTCCCTGGTTTCCCATGCATCGGCGGCATAGTTCCATTGCCAGGTGGACCTCAGAGTGAACTCTGAGTATTGAGGCCCGGGTGTGACATACCTCCTTTGAGTGCCAGCTTTCCCCCGTACCACGTACACCTTGGTGTCCGTGTCAAGGTCATGCCAGCCTGGTTTGTCTTTGCAGTCCGAAATGGCCTGCCACTTGGCCAAAATGGCCTGTTCTGCCAAAATGGCATTTTGCTGGTGTTGGCTGACTACTGTGCTGCCAGCCGTTTGGGTTGCCAAAATGGCTTGAGGTGAAACTGATTCCACGCGGTGCTGCCCGCTGTGGCCGGGTTTTACCATGAGAAGTCGGTGTTCCCCGATCTTACTGACGTTCTTGTCTCTTCTGTACGACGTCGAAGACGAGGAAGGAAGGGTGATGACGCTATTGTTGCCCCCAACCTGCGATGCCGAGGGACCAGCCGAGACAATGGAGGCGTTGTCACCTTCATTCACGGCTGCTACTGCCTTCTTACCCTTTCCCTTTTCCTGACCTTTTGTGTTGAACCAGCACTTCTCAGTGGTATGGCCGGCCTTCCAGCAGATTGCACAGCGATCTTTGCTGTCTTGACCTTTTCCACCCTTGTCTTTCGAGTGGGTGTCTTTCCCTTTTCCTTTCTGATCCTTCCCTTTGCCCTTCTTGCCATCCTTTCCTTTGCCACCTTTATCCTTACCTTTTCCTTTGTGTTGGACGAGTCCAATCTCCATGGGATCACTGCGTGCGGTGCTACCCGCATACGCGGCCGATGGCTTCCATACCTGCTTGGCTTGCAAGTATGACACCACCACTTCGCGCACAGCTTGGTAAGTGCTCAGCGTGGCTATGTGCATGGAAAGGTGCTGCTTCAGGGCATTTGGAGCTTCGGTCAGAACTACGGCACGTTTATCTTCATCACTTATTGCTTTTTGTGCGCCGTATTCAGCTTCATACCTGTCCAAGTCGGCCTCCCACTCTTGGAGCGCCGCAGAAAACTCAGTCTCCTTTGACGGAAACTTCGGGCTAAGCAGCGAGCGTCTCCAGATCAGACTCTTCGAGTGGTTATCTGGGGCTAACTCTCGGTACAGAAGCCTCCAAAACTCAAAACCGTTCTGTTCTCGAATTCCACGGGCTATCTTCACAGCTACTGCTAACTCCTGTGTCCAGGAAGTCAGCATGGCAAAGAGCTGTCTGCCACGTGCCTTGCAGTCATCAGTCATATCCACAGGGTCCACAAACGTGGTACTTTTGCGTGCTTCTTCCAAGTCTGTGGGAAACTCTTCATTGATCAGTGCCAGATAGGTTTCCACCTGAAAGGTGAAGCGTTCCCACTGCTCCCTGTCCTTTAAGGACTGAGGCTGTTTCACAGACTTGAGCACGTCTATATGACTGACAGGTTTACTGGTGCCGGCGGAGCTCCCCGCGCTCGGCTGGGGAACTGCGCCTGCTGCGCCTCCGTTCTGCAAGGATTGCTGCAATTGTCCCAACGCGACGTTGAGGCGTTGTTCCAGCTGCTCTTTCTCGAGCTGCAGCTGCGCATTCACCTGTTGTTGGGTCTGCTGAGCGGTAGTCAAGGCCTGAACCTGACTCGCTAGAGCCTCCATCTGCAGTTGGATCTGCGCGGCTTGCTGCTCCATCTTCTTCTCTGCAGTTCGGTGGTCTTTCGTCTACCACCTCGTAGTGTTCACTCTGGCTTTGGCTCAAAACCCCTTGGATTTGCTCACACAAGTCAAGAGCTTTGTTGAACTCTTGCTTGACTGTTGGCGTGAGCTGGCTCGCACGCGCGGGGACTTCCGCTGCGTACAGCGGAGGTGCGGCCAACTTCTGCAGCGGCTCCTTGGAGCTGCTTGCTGACGTCACGTGTGGCTGTGGGATGTCAGCTGGATCCTTGCCCTGAAACACAGGGTCTGGAACGCAGATCTCAAAACTCTCTTCACTTGAGATGTCAGCTTCCCAGTCAACCACTTCTATGCCTGCGTCTTGCAGGATTTCTATTGAGAGGCTTGGGGCTTCAGACGAATCAATCGCCTGCTTGGCTTCGTCCAAGTCCTTCTGAAGTCGGGCTCTTTTCCTTGCAGCCCTTGAGCTGGCCCTTTCAGCCTGTGGGACCAACTTCACCGGTGCGCGCTCGTCTGCTTCGAGTGCAGCGCGTCCCGGAGGCGGATCTACCCGCACTTCCCTCTTGGCCTCTTCCACCCTTAGGTTGGTCTGAGGCACGTCGGGTGCGTCGGGTGTTGACCCGATGTCCAGCGCCGAAGATGGCACTGACCCCGGCTCTGGTGCCGGTGGGTCTGGCTCAGCCGAAAGATCGGCTGGTGGATCGGCCGATGGGTCGGCCTGTGTTGGCTCAGCAGGTGGCGCGTCCGTGGACTGGCCTGACCCTGCTGTTGTTGCTGCTGTGTCTGCCGCCTCACGTGCGGCTCTTCGCTCTTGACCCCTTTGGATCCTGGCCTCTGTCCTGGCCACTGAGCGATGTCCTCGCCGATTCCTTTCTTGGGCGAATCGACTGCTTCGAGATCGATTCGTGTCTGGTCGGCTTCGTCCCCACCAACTGTTGTCAGTGGTTGCCCCAGCGTCCCTTGTTGCAGGAGCTCTGGGTTCTTGCTGGGAGTAGTCTACCCAGCCACGGCTTGCCCAGTCCTGAGCTTGCCAGTCACGGTCGTCCCAAGGGGTCGACCTATTCCAGGATTCCCAGGTGTTGTCCCGAGAAGCCGTTTTGTTTGGACTCCCCTACGCAGCCTTGGCCACGTAGGCTTGTCCTCAGTTTGGGCGGGGCTGCCCGCGGCCTTGGCCGGCGGAGCTGCCCGCTCTTTGACCTGGAGCGGTGGGGCTACCCACGCAGCTCCGCTACCATGCAAAAGCAAAGCTGGTAGTGGTCAGCGTATTGGGCTCTCACAAGTTACCTACCCCGCTAGTTGGACAAGCTGCCACACAGTGGCACCTTTTTCCTTCCTTGAATGCACGGTTGTGCAAAAGGGGCTGCGGTCATGAGCTGTTGTCATGCCATGCCGTCTCTACCTAGTGAACTGCCTAGCTAACTACAGTAGCTACCTAATTCCTAGGTTTTACCCTTTGCAGTTTGCCAAAAAGGGCTATGCATTGAAAAACTTTGGGCAGCACAGAAACTGTTTGCTTGAGAAGTTGGGAAAAATGGTTTTCTGCTTGTGGGGAAGGGTTGAAGAACAAAAGCAGGCAAGACTGCCCCTGTGGCACTCAAATCAGTTTCCCCATGGTGTTTTAAAGCTGTTTGGCTCAACTCTTCTGAATGGCTGGCCTTGAAAAAGGGCCATTCTGGCCTTGAAGAAGGGCTATTCTTGCCTTGAAAAAGGGCAAAGCTGTGTGAAAAAGCAATGGCCAACCAAAGAGAAAAATGGAAAAGGAAAAAACGAGAGCAGGCCAGCAGCTCTACCATGTTGTGCCAAGAGTTTTCACCCTTAGGGTCTTGCCTGCTGGAGCACTTTGCAGATGGCATGTCAGCTCCTTGCCAAAGTTTATTCAAAAGTTGTCTGGCTGAAGGACCAATGTGATTGCATGTGCTGTTTGTTTTTTGTCAGTGGCTGCACTGAGGGGCCTTCCATCCAAGCACTTGCTTTGGCTGCAAGCAAGTCAGGGGCATCCACCAGTGATATCCAGGAGCTTGCATCCCTTGGCAACCATGGCCAGAATCCCAACCACATTGCCCACCAATTGCAATCCAAGTACTGTGAAAGCACTGACATAGACTTGCCCATGCCCTACTTTGTGGAGACTCCTGTGCAGCTCAGAACAGCAGATGGCCTGTATGTGGCACAGAAGAAAATAGGGATGTTCTTACCACATGAGTGGTTTTATTGGCTTTGTGGCCAAGACCAAGCTATGTCAGGGTTGCAAAATGTTGAAGAGTTCTGGAAAGAACACAGCCCAAAAGACCCACAGCTGAAGAACAACATTATCAAAGAGACTCAGCAGCATAGAGTGCCATTTGTCACTGCCACTTTTGCATCCAAATCCAAAAAGGCAACCTTTTCCTCTGTGGTTTACATGCATTGGCTAAGGAACACAGACATAAGTGCTTGCCCTGTGGCTTACATGGAGATGGGGGCCAATTCCAGCGAAATGATAGCATCAATGTGATCAGCATGAGGAGCCTGCTATCCAGCCTCAATGTTGCTTCAAGCCAGCTCTTGCTACTGGCTTTGCCAAAGGGTGCCATCAACAAGAGCCCTGATGATGCAGCATTTGACACCATGAAGGTCCTTTGGCAAGTACTCCAATGGTCTTGGGAAGCTGCTTTCTACAACAAGTTTCCTGAATTTGACCATGCAGGGAACCCTTGGCCAGCAAAGTCTTGGAGACAGCAAATGGCTGGTCAACCTTTGAGCAGAGAAGGCTTCAGAGCTTGCATCTGGGCAGTGCAGGCAGATGGTGAGTACCTCCAGAATGAGTTCCAGCTGAAAGGTGCATCACGTGAGGAGATGTGCTTCAATTGCTCAGCAAACAAAAGCACTCTCCCCTATAATGACTTCAGGCCCACTGCAGCTTGGAGGGCTACAGTGGTGGAGCATGCAGGGACATGTCCTACAGATCATGTGATCAGCACCATTCCAGGTGTGGTTGGTGAAAGCTTCAAATATGACACCCTACATGTGCTAGAGGAAGGCCTCACAGCACATGTGCTGGCCAATGTCCTCTTTGACCTGGTTGTGAAGCCAGGCCTGCCAGGAACACAGAATGAGAGACTGACCTACCTCTTTAGGAAAATCTGCGCCCTCTACCAAGAGCAAGGCATTGAGGCCAGTGACAGGATCAGGAAGCTGACACTCTCTACTTTCTGTTCTCCAAAGAGCAAGCATGATCAGTTTCCTACTTTGACAGGGGTGAAGGCTAGACACTGCAGGTGGCTGGTACCTGTGCTGGAAGAGATATGCTTGGAATTCCAGCGTACAGAGGACAAGTACAGTGTACATCGGTTTCAAACTGTCAAGCACCTCAACCAGCTCTACACAATCATGGACTGCAGTGGCATGCATCCCACAGGGGAAGAAGCAACTTCTTTCAAAAAAAGCATGAACCTTTGCCTCCTACACTACTCCAGGCTGTCAGTGTTGAGCATCCAGCAAGGAATTCTACAATGGAATGTGACCCCCAAGTTCCACTTGTGTGAGCACTTAGCAAGTGTCTTTCAGTGGTTCAATCCTAAATTTTCTTCCTGTTATGCTGGTGAAACAATGGTGGGCCACCTATCAGCCCTTGCTCATTCCTGCCTGAGTGGCACTGCCCCCTACCAGGTGGCCAGTAAGGTCACTTGGAGATACAGGTTAGCTCTTCACCTGAGGATCCAAGGAGCTGATTTTTCATGGCAAGATATAGAAAGTGATTAACATTGGGAAATGCCTTGGAAAAGGCTGCCCTGAGAAAGGGCTGCCCTGAAAAGGGGCCATGCCCTGCAAAAGGGCCTGAAATCTTGGCAAGATGTATATAGTTTTGTACAAAGTTTCACAAGTAGCAGAGCAAGCAAAGATGAGCAAAAAATGCATTGGATGAACCAAGTTGGAAAGGTTTCAACACAGAACCATGTTGGAAAATACAACACAGCTCTGTTGAAAAATACAATAGAAAATGCACCCCTGTTTCAATAGGGAATCCAGGGAAAATTTCAATATATATTGAAATTAGACCTCCATGTTGAAACTGTCGATCATTATTGAATCTTTTCAATAAGGCGTACTCTGGGAAGGTGCAAATTCCGTGGCAGGCGTGGCAGTTTGTGAGATGTGCTGAAAATTGACGGAACATCGATTTTGACGTAGCAAATTTAGAAGTTCCTAAGAAAACCTGTAAGAAAACGTCGGTTCTGAGGCTGCAAAGTGTCAAAACTGGACGAAGTCTCGCACGAAATGCTCGTTTTGCTGCGTCTGGAGTCTCTGGTTTTCCTGTGGCCTCGCCGTGTCTATGGGGGAAGCTGCAAAACAAGTAGTTTTTAGTATTAGGGTGGTATTTATTATCAGGGAACCCTATTCATAAAATTAAACCCTTAATAATATTTTTTCCGATCTCAAAATCAATTATTTTTTTTTTTATAACGCAATTAAAATATTGCCAAAAATTGGATTTCGAAGCTTCCCCCTAATATTAAATTAAAACCCTTAATGATAAAAACTATTTTTTCCGGTTTCAAAATCAATTAAATTTCTTTATATAGCGCGATTAAAGTATTGCCAAAATTGGATTTCGAAGTTTCCCCCTAATATTAAATTACAATCCTTAATAAAAACTATTTTTTCCGATCTCAAAATCAATTACAGTAAATTCTTTATATAACGGAATTAAAATATTGCCAAAAACGGGATTTCGAAGATTCCCCCCAAATACCAAAATCAAAAACGTAATTTTAAAAACTCAAAAAAAGTGGACGGACCCTAATAATAAACACCTCGGGGTGAACTAGTTTTTAGTATTAGGGGGGGAAACCCACAAATGGTAGCTTTATGTTTAAATTGTTCTAAAGGGGATCAATTAAAAGTCAAATTGGCCAATCTGAAATTTTCCATAATTGGAGATGGACACTAGTTTTTAGTATCTGGGCGGGGTTTAGTAATATTAATAGGAGGAAAGGATTACACTTTACACTCCACACTCTACACTCCATACTCTACACTCCACACTCCACACTCCACCACACTCTACACTTTACACACTCCACACTCCTCACTCCACACTTTACACTCCACACTCCACACTTTACACTCCACACTCCACAATCTACACTCCACACACCAATCAGGTGAAGCGAGCGAGATATCGTCTGATATTGGTACGAGGGTCAGATCTTGCGTGGCTCAACAGAGATCGCCTCCGAAGTCAAGGCAGGGCTGGCAGCTGAACACAAATGGATTCCAGTCCAGAATCTCCCGTTCCCGGAAGTCGTCCTGTATGCCTACGCAGCTGATCGCACGCCCTTTCCCACATATGTATGCCTGCCTTCAGGATTGTACAAGGCGCGTACTGGGCAGATTGTGGCGCAGACCGGCTACCTTTGTCAGGTATGTACTTCTTTGATGGATGGCGGGTACATCCAACGCTACCAATCCCCAGCAACCACTTCCCCATACTCTGCCTCCCGGGGGATAAGCTTTTCCAAAGCAAGGAGTTAGACAATGGGTACAGCCTGCCACCAATAGTACATGCTTTCCATGGGAGCAAAGTAGGCCTCGGGCAAAAGCTCCAACAGTGGCAAAGTAAAGGGCTGCAACCACTTGCTGTTTCGCTCATAGGGGTTGACGAAGCACCCCCGCTATGGACACTCCCCACAGGCTGTGACTTCGTCAGAGGAAGTAAATTAGTAGCAAGACCACACGTCTCACGACAGCGCAGCCTTACCAAGACGCAGGTATTGCTGCTCCAGAGCCTCTGGACGCCAGTGGAAGTCCCTAATTACAACAACGACCACACACCCTGGCCCCAGACCTGCCAGAGCGCCCACGTCCTCTGCGGACAGCAAGCTAGCCTCCAACTGCCCACTGCCCAAATTCTCCCTCTTCTTGAAGCACTGCAGCAACGACTGGGAATTGACCCTAGCAACGCAGAACTGGCCATTAACGAAGTTCTTGCCAGCCATGCCGATCCTCAATACACTGATTGGAAAATCATTATCATGGATAACACCACCTGGCAACTCAATCCCGCTGACCCAGGGTCCCTGGATGTTCAGTGCACTGGATTGGGTGGAGGAGAACTCGACGATGAGTGGGATGTACTGCTAGCTTGCAAAAAGGAAGCACATGTTTACGGACCATCTCTCAGCAAGCAGGACGATTGGAATGCGAGAGCTGGCACAATTGCAGGAACCGCCCACACACAAGAATATTTGTTACTGCATATAGCCATGTTCCCAATTGGTGCCCACACCTGGTGCCATGTTCTTGGAGTGCCCGACGCTGATCAATTGCAAGCACAGATCATCAGCCGTGCCATGAAACTGCTACGTTTCTGTCCCATTACCCCGGCGCATAGGAAACCGCCATGGCCAGGGTACAAGCACGGCCTGCGACTCTTTACCAAACTGTTGGTTGCGCATCCATTGGTCGGAGTGTGCCTGCCCCCCGAAATCCGTCCGGTAGAGTATCTCAAATTAACAGGTTACATGGTAGGTTCCCTCTTCATTCGAGGGCACAGTGCAGGCTCGTATGCAGGAATGGTATGGGAAACCATCCTTGCTGAATTCCCAGACATTGAAGGCAAAACGGTGCTAGCAGCCATTGCTCTGCCACCATCGCTTCTAACGACACACAGACTGTCCCATCACCGAAAGGTACACCTCATCCACCATGCAGATGACCGACTGTGTGTCTGGAACCCGTCCAATCAAGACATCAAACTGCTCCAACAACAGGGGTTCGCAATCACACACATCACAGGATGGCGAGTATACCTCAGCACTGCCCAACACAACTATTCGCACTGGACACGAGTTACCCTTCCAGAGGGACGACCGGACATGGCACAGCTAGAGAGTACCCCAGGGGTGCTTCCCTTTGAAGTTTACTCACAAGCCCCCCTGCGGCTGATATCATGGTGCAGCTTTGAGCTCCCACAGGCAGCTAAGCGTCTCCTTCGTGAGTTAGCAATTATGTGCGAGCTACCAGAGACCACAACACAGGCACTAGTCAGCCATATTGCCGTACACAACTCACAGGTACGAACGGAGCAAGATGCAACTCAATATTTGGCCTCATTGGCAACTGTCACCATTGCGTCTAGGGCCAAATTGCTCACTTATACTACCATGGTTCAACACTTCCTCGGCACCCTGCAACTGCCTATGGCTGTCTACATGCTAGACTACTATCTGCCAATGCTCAGCCCCAATGAAGGCTACAATGAGACGGGGCTTACAATGCAAAGTGCTGGACCAATCCGTCAACCATGGCAACCAATTGCATTCGAATTTCTTTTCAAAGGCAGCGAGTTTGGTCACTGGAGAGTTAAAGGAGGACAGGATGCATTTGCGTTCCGACACCCGAGCCTAGGCCAAACAGAAGTCTTCAGCCTCCTAGCAAGTGACGCACACCACCACAAGGTTAGCCCTATAGGCACGGGAAGGCTCGTTGCAATGGTAGGAACCACAGATGCTCCAGCGGGCGACGTCAGAAACCTACAAATCCTTTTTGGGTTAGTCCTTGCCATCACGTCACGCTCATCCAAAAACAAGGATGAACTGCCTGCCACCCGAATACACAGGCAGTGCAACCCCAGATTCATCGAAGTAGCCTTTCTCTCGGGGCCTGCCATCGAATTTTTTGCCCATGAGCAATTCCTAGCCCTTCAAGACTGGTATCTTGCCTTTGGCCAAAGCCTGGAACCCATCGATGCTACCGTTCAGGGGAACGGAGGCCCACTCCCAGAGAGGTGACTGCTGTCGCACAAACTCCCCCCTGCAGGTACCACCTTGGCCTAGGCATCTATAATGTCCAAACAGCAGTTGAAGGAATGGATGGCAACAAACGATCACATTTCCTACATTTGTGCGGACAGTTGCTACGCCTGGTACTTATCCCATGTCATGTGGAGGGTGAACCCCATCGATGGACCCGCACAACTGCACTTTCCTTCGCATTTTTTTCTGTCCAACGCCTTCATGGCTTCCGCCAGGTCGTTCAACATGTTCAAGAGCATGTTGCAATTGGGATTAATTGATTAATTAAGGCACGCAGAGGCCGGTGCTGTAGGTGGCCGCAAAAGTAAACTGGTGTAGGACCGATACATAGTCCTGTATGCTGTCACGATCAATCAGAAAACCAAACAAAACACCGAGAGAAAACAAACAAAAAACACAAAAACAAAAAAGCCCAAAACAAAAAACAAACAAACCAAAAAACACACACCACAGTTGAATGACGTGACAGGTTCCAGTTATGAGTGAAAAGGATTGATTACTACAAGAGGTGATAGCTTAGTATCATCTCGGTGCATGCAGAATGACATCTTGTGTGCCATGATGACGCTGGCCCCTAACAAAAAACCAAAACAAGAAACGCCACAAAAACACCAGGGGCCAATTGGCGGGTGCGAGAAGCAACAAAGCTCAATGCAGAAACCAGGGATCCCCCCAGCCAGGATCCCCGAGATCACAAAGAGCAGCCTTCACGGCATGACCTTCACCCTGACACTTTGAAGCAAACACCGACAAAGCCGGGTCGCAACGAAAGTGGTGAGAAGAACTAACGCAGTGAAACAGGAGAGTGAAACATGATCTAATGTGAGAAAGAAAGCAAGACTATGGCACTCAGGGCACACTCAG